TAATCATCCTGGCCATTTGACACTGCCTACATTCTTCCAAGGAAGAGATGATGACAGAGAGAAACATCAGGCCACTCCTCACAGCATTAATCATGGCTGACTTGTCCTGCTAATGAAAAAAAAAACGTTTCCTCTGTCTCTTGTTCTTTCTCATATGTAGCAAACTACTTGCCTTGGTGGATATGAACACTGAGCCCAGATTAAAACTAAAGTAAATCCTTACTTTGGAATCGTTTGGAACAGCTTCTTTGGAATAGTTGAAAGTTAAACTGTACTGTCTGTCTGTTTTTTTGTTTTTAAAGAGCTGCAACTCCAGTTTCACAAAGACAAATTTTAAAAATGCTGTTGACCCAGGCATACAGTAACACTGTACTGACTATACTGAGCCAACCAGTAAGTTCATTATCACACTGAAGGCAGAGTGAAAAAGTGGCTTGATTTTGTTGTTGGTGGCAGAGTTTTTGTGGTTGGTTGGTTTTGTTTTGCCTTTTTTTGGGGGGGCGGGGCAGGGAAGGGATTTTGTATTGGAATATCTACCCATTTTCTGCCCATCTCTCAAATTCAAATCTGTCCAGAGATTACCAGTATGATTCATAACCCTTTGGGTGGATCCAGGTTAAGATCTCCATTACAGACCCAGAGGAAATATGCAGCCCAGTTCATGGATGCTTGCACACAAGCACTGTCCATGTCCACATACATTAGGAGTCCCCCAGGCAGTACAAAAGCCCAGCCTGAGCAGTCCTGCACAGCCCCAGAGGAATAAGGCACAGCAATGCTGCAAGAATTGGAGCTGGAAAAAGAGGGATGCTTGAGAGGCCAGCTCAAAAGCCACTCTAACCAAGACAGCATCTGGTCTAGACCTTTCTCATCAGCTCTTTGTCTAGTTTACACTTAAAAGCTTTAAGCACTGGAGTTCCTCAGACTCCTCTGATCTCCTCCAGTGCCAAACTGCCTTCCAACTGTTTATGAGGAGAGGAGACTCTAGTTGCTGTCTTTTAACTGTTTTTGTTATGGGTGATGTTCAGAAGATGGAGTCACACTGTTCTTGGAGATGCTCAGTGGGAGCAATGGACATGAACTGCAGTAGAAATCCATAACAGCTCTTAGAAGAAGAGTTGTGCACAGCAAGTGTGGTCAGCTGCAGAACCAGGATATAGAGGCTGTGGCCTCTCCATTCTGGTAGATACTCAAAGTGCACTTGAAAAAATCCCTGAGTGACCCAATCTGACCTCCAACTTAGCCCCACTTTAAGAAGGAGAGGGACCAGAAACTTCCAGCAATGCCTTTCAGTATAAACTATCCTGTGGTACTGTATTTTTATGGCAATGCTCTTATGATTAGAATTTTTTTTTAACTTTATTTTGTTTGTTTGTTTTTTGTTTGGTTTTTTGTTTGTTTTGTTGAGGTTTTTTTGTATGTGACTAAATTGCTGCAAAATAAACCAATTTCTGGAAGACTATTACCTTGTTCTTCTTCAGTGTGCTCTTCTCTGTAGTAAACAATTGCTGGCTCAGTACAAATTCTGTTCAGGGTTAGCTAAGGTACCGCCAGGAAACTCCAGGCTTCAGTCCAAATGACCACTTCAGGAACTTCTTTTGCTTGAATCACTCTTGCTGAGAAATAGTGCAATCTACTACTGGTAAGAAGTTCTCCTAACATCATTGCTAGAATTCCAGGAACCAGACTGCTTCTGTACTTGGTTCTGAACTGTTAATGGGAGTTCACAGTTCCAGTTCAGATCATGATCATGCTGCATGAAACCCCTTGAGCCATATAAACTGCCTGCTACGTCAGCAATACAGAATGATGGCACTGCCCCCAGACGAGGTGCAGCAACTTGAGCTGTGCCTCTGTCCCCTCACTTTGCAAAGTGAGAGTCCAGGTCAAGTGAAATGCACTCCCCATTGGAGGGGAAGCCATCGTGGCTGTTTGAGTGTGCAGGATGTGAGGTCAGGACAATGCCAGAGTTATAACTCAACTCTTTAGTGAAAACAAACTCTTCACTGAGTAAATGCATTTGGCCTCCTGGAAGCATTCAACCTAATGAAGGTGTCCCTGCTCAGGGCAGGGGCTTGGAACTAGATGTTTCCTTCCAATCCAAACTATTCTGGAAATCTGTGAAAACCTCCTAAGATTTTAGGTAAAGCTATGGATGGCTTTCCATGCCAGCTCCCTGTGCAAGAGATCTATGGATTACAATATGCCATGAAACCAGAGCACTTCATAGGCTTCCTTAATGACAGTGGTGGATTGTGACTGCACTTTTTGAGCAGCATATCTGTTCCTTCAAGGCAACACCATTCCTGAAATAAAAAAAAAACCCTACTTTTCAAGGGAGCCAGACTTTTCCCTTTCTAGGAGCACAATAAATGTTTTGGCAGAATCATGCTTCGACAACTTCGGATTTACAAACATCAGAAGTAAATTCTGATTATTTATTTTGGATAAATAATGAACAGCATAAAAACTGCTGACTTTGACCCTCATTGGAAAAATTGGTTTAATGGGCCCCATAAACTCTTCTATTGATGGCAGGTTCATAAAGTCTATATTGACTTCAGCTGAAGGCTATAACTTCTATCAATACTGTCAACAATTAATATTGGCTTATAAAGGTATCCTGTAAACTAAGTCATAGCATTATGTTACTTTACATTGCCATTAGCAGAATTTCATGTCTTCTTGAAAATGTTTCTCCTGTAAATCTGGGATTTCTCAAAATAGCCTGTGTGATAGCTAGCAGCCCAGAGAAATATTACTTATGTGGAGTGAGGAGGGAGGAAATGCCTTTATGTTTGGCAGACAAAGCTTCTAAGAAGACCTCAGGCTTCATTTTTTCCTACAGCAGGTCTCAGGCTGTGAGGAGCTTGTGCACAAAAGTTTCTCATACCCTTATCTGTGCCAGGCAATTACAAAAAGAAAATGCTCAGATTCTGCCTACTTCAAAGACTTTTCCTTAACCTTTTCTTTCTACGTTGCAACATTTGTTTGGATATGTTTATACTATCAATTCCACTGCAGTCCCTATATTAAAGCAAACTTTTTCTCAGTTCTGGATCAGTTTTTCTGACCTGAACATGGTCTGATACCTATGACATCTTCCCAGAAAAATCTACGCATCAGACAAAGCTCACCATCAGCACAGTTTGGATCTTAATATTTTCTTTCAAGTTCCATCACCTCTTTTTTGTCATTTTGTCATCCATTATTACATACTGGACACCACAGCAATCTAGGTTTTATTTGTGCTACACAGACTTTTTTATTATGGTACAGCCTCCCTCATTTAAAACACCCAACATCTAAGACGGCAAATGCCTAGGCTCCAAGGAAACTCCTACATTTATACAGCACTGTGTTCTCCACTTCTCGTTTCCCTTTTTCTAGTTGCTATGAAGTGATGGTTCAATGAATGGTTAGTGTGTCATTAAACTTAAAGAAAGAGGAACTGAAGGTTGTCTCCACCCTGATATGAGTCCTATACCCTCTGTGATTACTTTCAGTAAAGCCTTTCAAGGCATGTGCAAGTGCTAATGTGCTGTTTCTAATATAATTTCATTTGTAAGTTATCTGCAGGCACAAAGTTCATTTGCAGGTGTAGAGACAGCATTACAGAAAGCAGGGAAAAAGACTCCAGCAGATAATGCAATTCTTCTCTGTTAAGACCAAAGGAAAAAAACCCCATAAAATTCTATATACTGCTTAGTAGGCATGGAAAGAAAAAATGTATGGGATAGGATCGCAGCTGTTCATGTATCACATGGAAAGCACAAAAGAGAGCTTGCATAGAGGAGAATGAGATGGAAGCACAAGGTGCTTACTTTTTTCTGTTTTCTAGCAATTTCTTGTGAGTGTGCAAACCTTTAGTTGACTCTGATGATCCCTCTCATTTTTCATCAAAATACAAGGATCACAAGGAAAGTAATGTAACCTGGCACTGTGTGTCCGTATGTAAGACACTACACTAGGAATCTTAAAAAAAGTATGGTACAGATAATTTATAAGGATTCTTCTGTACATCCTTTGAACAGAAGGCCATTTATCTTTGAACTCTGCCTAATATATCATTATCTCCGAGCAGAAACTTAATAAGCTTCAACTGTAATTTTGTTGGAGTTAAACATAAAATCATGTGGGTGGTGTATGTCTCACTATGTCATGGCTTCAAGAGGAAAACTTATCATCATTTGTCACTATAATACTATGGCAAAAAGCATGAAAAAAACAAGTGATACAGTCATTTCACGTGAGCTTTCTGCACTGAGCACAAGTGCACGATGACTTGTATGCAGCAGCTATATTAAGAAGCAGGCTGTGCTATAATTGAATTAAAGGTGCAAAGGCATATAGGACTGGATGAACTCCCGGGTCAAGCTGCAATTGAATCAAAATCCCCTCTCCTTCTCCTACACTGCTAGGCAGAACTGCTGACCAAAAGGTTCGCAGACCTACAAAAGGGATGCAGGAATCCCTGCAGCTGGGGACACAAAGTTACAGAGATAAAAAAATCTGTGACCTTCAGCTTTTATTTTGCACAAAGAAAAAGACTCTAAAAATATTTCACCATCGTTTTCCTTCAGAGAGCAGTCAGCCAATTTACATAAATGAAACAGTCCCTGTCAAGGAACCAGCAAGGAAGAGAAGAAAATTATCTGCCCAGAAAATCTGGGCAAAGATAAGAGTAGCATCGGCCAGAGGAGGGGAGATTTAAATGCCTTCCCTCTGAAAGGCTGCTGCAAAAAGCAGGGAGAGTATTACAGCTATTTAATGATCTCTGTCGCAGTGATAAATAAGTAGGAGCTTCTCCAGCAGTTCATTAACAAATACTCTGTAGGACAGTACAAAAGGCCACTGCATGGGGCTGTTAGAAAAGTGTTTCCATGGAGTCTGATAAAAAACCCCCATCACAAAACCTAAGGAGATTAAGGTGGAGTAGCAGGAAGAGACATTCCTGAGAGAGCTGGAGGCTGACACTTGCCTGCGCTGTCACCACTTACCGGTTTCAGTATTCTCATGCTCCGTGTCGGTGAGGGTGAGGTTGGAGTTGGCCCGGCTCGACAAGCAGGAGCTGCGTCCGGACTTGGTGTTGCGTCCCCAGAGCCTGACTGGGTGCTCGGGTGACATGACCACGTCTGCTTCCGTGTCGGCATCCGAGCCGGCGCTGATGGAGTAGCCGCAGTGAGGCAGCCCGATGTCGGTGCGGTACAAAGTGCCGTGTGTGGGTGTCACATCTTCAAGTCCCAGTTCTCGCAAAGAGAAGTTGGCTCCTGTGAGAAACACACATCGGCCTGGTTATTCTCTAATAGGACACGGTGCCATCTAGCACAAGTCAAGAGCAGGAGTGCTCATCCTCTAACTTCACGTGGAGCACAGCAGATTCACATTAACCCACAGTACCATCATACCAAAGATAGATCTCTTCTGCGGTCTTGGTCAGTGTGAGACCAAGAGACCACAGAATCAGAGAATCCCTAAGGTTTTAAGATCATTGTGTCCAACCATTACTCAGCTCATCGGAGTCCACCACGAGACAATGCCTCTAAGAACTTCATCTACACTTTTTTTAGTAATAATTTCAGAGACAGTGATTCCTCCACTTCTGTAGGCAGCCTGTTCCAATCCTCGGCCACTCTTCCACTTATTTTCCTAATATCCAACCTCAACCTCCCCTAATGTCACTTGAGGCCATTTCCTGTTATCCTCTTCCTTGTTTACTTGGGAGAAGACACCAGTCCCCACCTCACGACAACCTCTTTTCAAATATGCCAAGATTAAAAAGTGGCTGGATTCCTGCTTCTGGAACCTGACAAAAACTCAGAGCATGTTCAGTGAAATCATCAAGTTTGAAAGCAAAAACGAATGTAGAAATGATGCAATTCTTTAGGAGAGGCAAAAAGTAATCTTCTCGTGAGGAAAGCAAAATGAGGCATGCAATGATCAAAAGTCCTACCATATACCTGACAACTTCCCTACAATAGGCAATTTGAGTGAGTTCTGCTCATTGAAATCCCTGAAATTACATACTGGGGATTTAAATTTCCTTTGGTGATTTCACTTTCCCCTTGCTGACCACTTACACCTTGACTCAGTTTAGCTATTCATTCTGAGACACAGCAGAGGTTATTTGGCTGCAAATAGATGCAATTGTTTAGCTGACTAAAAATACGACCTGAAAAGTGACTCTTGACTCCATGTCCAGTTACCTGCAGAGCTTCAAAATCATGCTGAATTGATGTGAATAAGGCTTCAAATATTAGCATACTTTGTTTGGAAAGTTCCACAAAGAGTCTGGGGAGAGCAATTTTAATCCACATTTATTTATTAATGCATGCATTTATTTTTCAATCCTGAATATCTTGAAAAGATTTTGGCCACCCATGAGTGCCTTTAGCTGCACAGTGCATTTATACAGCTCAATGCACCTCTGCTTCTGTTATGCTATGCCTTAGATGGATTAAGGAACGGTGCAGTTTGCAGCTCAGGCGTATTTCAACAAGATAAATCTGAATGCACGATCTCCAGGAAATTTCAGGCACAAACCTTCCTTTGAACACTGAAGTTCATAACTATTCATTACTGAAATCTGTTCATCAAGTCTGGATCTCAAGGTTGTATCCAAAGCTGAATGATCATTTTCTCCTTTCTCAAGACCCTACAATCGTGTGGTTTTTCTCAGATTTCTATTTGTTGATGTCAAATATCATACGGTAGAAAATGTGTATCTAATAGAAATAGTCAGTTTTCTACTTTTCCAGAGTATGGTTTCACACTTGTGGAAACAGCCTAACTTATCCTTCAACCCTGCTGCTTGGGGAAAATCTCTCATATTAGAGCACACATGCATCACATGATAGGTGGCCAAAAGTAGATGCTATTTTACTATTAGTAGATGCTATTCATTCAGTTGGCTTTACAGCTCATAGTGAACAGAGAGGAGATATCTGAATTCAAGGCGAATAACGGGACTGGACAACATTTTCATGTATAGCTCAGAGAAGGAGCTGTTTGATGGCAGAAGAAAACTCTGGTTCAGCTGGTTACGGATCTGCAGCTGACAATACTCAAATTGCATAAAGGATTCATTAACTTCACACCTTTTTAATTGACCAAACAAGGTTAAAGCTTTCAGACAGAGTGGACAGAAAAGGTTGCTTGGGGCTCACACCTCTGTCCAACCCTAGAGCCTTGCTTGGGAAGCACAATGCAAGCTTGTGGCAAAGTAATCCATTTAACATGATTGCAAAGTGGTTTGAGAAATTGTCCTCTACAGCCTCGTGGTATGAGGAAGCAAATAAACCTGACCTAAGTTATAAATGCTAGGAAGCAGTATCTCCCCAGAGATAGTGCTCTTCTCTTCTAGTTTTGACTTATGTGTAAGGCCATGGTTTACTAAACCATCCCTTGTGGAGTACCGAAAAATGTCTTTTGGTTTTCCTTGCATGTTTGAGTCACTGATGGTGAGTTCCACCTTCACCTGAAAGAAGCCACACTCAGCATCATCAGGCACATCAATGTGCAGCATGACCAATGTTCTCCAGTAACAGCAGCTCATAAATTATGAAAAATGACTGCTACAATTAACTGAAAATCAAATTTATTTGCAACAAACAGCAGCAGATGCATTGATTTTCATATTCTATGCTCACTGTTGCCTTTTAAGCTGGAAGAACTCAAGTCAATAAAAGGAAGATAATAAATATCCAAGACTTTTTAATTCAGATCTGGTCTATTTTCTCCTGTGCTGACTTGCACATTTGCTGACACTCACTCTAGCTAAAACCATTTAAATGCTGACTTGTTTATTTACTGAATTTATTTGGTCAATTTGAAATGTTTCCCTCCTCTGCCTTCCAAACCAATGCAGGAGAGAAATTCACTTTGCCTTGTTGATGTCAAGCAGGCTAATAAGGCTTGGTTTCAGCTGGCCTAAAGCCAAGCAGCATCACAAAGAGAGGTCCATTCATGGCTTACTGCCAGTGGAAAATGTGGCACAGAAAGTCTGGTATTATTGTTAACACTATTCAGGCCAGTTTGGGACCCTCAGGATAAACTGGAAGAAAGCTTTAAGTTGAGCCATTTGTGAGGGTTATATCAGAAACAGAACTGGTGCTCTGATGTGGTTAGTCTTAACTTCGCAATGCATTTCAAGTAATTAGACCAGTTATTTTTACTATTTCTCAGTATCCTTCAAAATTTTCCTAGGGAAGTATGAGCTTGTGTATAGAAAATTTACACACTCTGGCAACAGACTGGATTTTCAAGGAAAGTAATCTTTTGTGGGCTTCTTAGGAGAAGTCCATGGACCTTCATGGCCTCATGGACCTCCAAGTTGAAAACCACTGACCTGGACTAATTCACATCTATCCTGCATGGTGGATATATTGTATGAAGTAAACAAATGCAATGACCTAAAAAGTTTCCTTTTCTTTTTATAAAGAAAACACGTAAGACATTATTGTCATATATTCCTTAGAGGGGATGAAGTACTTCAGAGTTGCTAAGAGGAAAACTGCTTTTATGATGTCAGAGTGTTACTAACAACAACTATTGGCCCTTTTGTTGATTATTGCCTGTTGTAGCTATCTTAAAACTCAAACACTAAAGCCATATGCATGAAGATACTTCTGCAAATAATTTTACTTGTGTGTGCCTTGAAGATGAGTCTTGCACCAAAACCACAAGTGCATGATTTTTGAGGAGTGAAATTAAGCATCCCTCAAGTTTAATGAGTGTAATTATATGCATTCCTTTTGGGGAATCAGCTTCTCTAAACTGCAGAGGATGTGTACAGTGTACTCTGGGTCGGCCAGTTTATGTTCATTTTCTGGAATGCTGCCTTACTCTATTTGACTCACTTTGCCATTTTATGCTTTTCTTGATGGACTTCTAAAAACAATTTATGTGAAGTCCTGGTTGGAATCTGAACTACATCTCTACAGAAAAATGAAGATGAGTCTTATAGTAGGGGCCAGAAATCTACCTCTATATAGGCAATAACAGCAGTGAAAATGTAACTGCACTGACTTCAGGGTAGCAATAAAAAAAGAGACTATCTGCAATCTCTGTTAGAACTGTGAAGTCTGTGGTGACTTGAAACTCTGCATCTTCACAGATACTGTGACTCAGATTCACAAAATGTGTTCCTGTAAGTCCTAAAGTGGTTCCTTACTCCTCTAATATTGGAGCATGTCCCTACGGCAAAACTAAAGCCTGCAGACCATCTACAATGCCAAGAAGGTTCATCCCATCTGGAACTCAGTTGCCTCCTTTCTTCCAGGGTTCTTGGGTTTTGCTGTAGACCAGATGGACAGTGGACAGTGACATTCTTCCCTCGTTGCCTTCTGCCTCAGCATCCTCATTGACTTCCTTCATGACAGAGCTGACACATGACACAGTGAAAGGTCTCCTGAGCAGGCAGGAACTTTCCATTGCCACGTCAGTACCGTACAGCATGTGCACAGGAGCTCTAGTCTCATGGTGGGAAGTGGCAATGTGCTGCTGCAGACAGAAAGACTAAGACATAGAAAATGTGTCTTAGTAAGTGCTGAGGAACATGGGATATGTGTGTGCCACTTAAAGATACTGGGCTGCACACAGTGTCTGTGCAATATAATGAAGATGATCTCTGCTGTTCTCTTTAAATCTCTCTCTTACATCTTGCTTTCAGCCTCAGAGTCTTTCAAAGGTAGCCCCCCACCCAGCTCCAGCTCTCAGCTGACTCTGTCACGCTGCTTACAGCTGCATCTGGAGGGAAGTACCCACCTGCTCGGCAGAATTCATCGGCCTCCTGGTGCACCATGTCTTTGACCCGATTGCTGTAGGTCAGCCTGGAGTCTTGATCATAAGCCTTTAGGGTCTCGCTGGAGCTGTAGGACTTCTGGGGAGCCTTGCTGTCCTCACTCTCGGCTGAAGAGCTGGTGTAGCGGCGCTCAGTGTCACGGCGCCGAGTCAGAGATCGATACGGTTTCCTTTCTTTTACATCCATGGCACCTTTGTCTGAGTATTCAACATTAAAATAATGACGTCTGTGGGGTGGTCAGATTGGAATAACCTGAAAGAGACAATAAAAAATTCACGCCTTTGGGCACTCAACGGCTAATATGCCTTCTTTATACATTCTCACACTGAGGAAAAGGGATGTTACTTAATGGATTGCAGAAAAACCCTCTTAGAACAATTACCAATAAAAAGAAAGTCTCAATTATACGTGACTCATTTAATAATTGCCACTGCTAACAGGATACATATATGCAGCAACCTGCATCTCTCTGAACTAGGCGTGCACTTGGGAATTTGAAACTGATTGTGATATTGTGTCTTCTTTCCATAGGAAGTGATTCAGACACCTCGAAGAGGCATGTATTCATCAGTCACCTAATCTTTGGGAAACCAGAGATTATGAAATGTCTCTATTTGGGCAACTGGAGGCCTTTGGAAAAGTTCTGTCCTGTGGTTTTAAAAATGTTTCTATAAACCATGAGGTTAGAATGTATGGACAAAAGACTGAGATGGTATAAGAAGGCAAGTGAGAAGGGAGAGGGAGAAAGGAAGAATGAAGGAGTAAGATGTAGATGGAAATTGCATAAAAATGTCTTTCTTTTCAGAGGGCTCATCTTTACTCAGCTGGAAATACATTAGAACTTAAGCAGAGCTGAGAAAGTGTAAATAAATGATAGCGTTCTACTTCATGTAACAACATGGCCTGGGATTTATTTCTGTGGGAAAACAAATGTACATATGCAGTGCAATGCAAGCACACAGAGAAAATGGATATCAGAAATAAAATGTATTAAAAGTATTGTCAAAATAATTAATAAATTATATTTTTACTTCAAATTTATTAAACATGACAAAAGTCACTGAAAAACTAAGAGTAATAACTTGCACCAAGATGGAAAAACATGATTTTTAATATCTAAACTAGTTTATGAGGAAAAATAATGATAAAATCCACAAACCAAACATGGAAAATAATTACAGACTGAGCTTCTCAGAAACGGAATCCTCCTGACTGCTAAAGAACAGAAGATGACTCTCTAAATGTCACCCCAGGATATTGTTGTTTACCATCAGCACTTAAAAACAGAAAGCAAAAGGTTCAAAAAGCACCTATCAATTCCTGGTCTTTTTCACAGCAAATACATATGGAAATATATGGCAAGGACTGAATCACATTCTGTTGGCATTTCTTTCTTGAAAAGCTAAACCCTGAATGTACTAATGAAATCTTACTCGTCCATGACTCAGACCCTAGCCCTGCTTCAGATACTGTGCCCTGGATTTCAGAGAATCATAGAATCCTAGAATGGTTTAAAAAGGACCTTGAAGATCATCTAGTTGCACCCCCCTGCCATGGACAGGGACCCCTTCCACTAGACCAGGTTGCTCAAAGCTCCATCCAGCCTGGCCTTGAACACTGCCAGGGATGGGGCATACACAACTTCTCTGGGCAACCTGTGCCAGTGCCTCACCACCCTCACTGTGAAGAATTTCTTCCTAATACCTCATCTACACCTGCCCTCACACAGCTATGGTGCAGTAGCTGAGGATGGATGTGCTGTGAGCTTTGTAGGTCAGTTTAAAGGGATATGGTGTAACGTAGCATTTGTGGGTTTTAAAACTGAGTGCGTGAAAGATGGAAGACTTTTAGCACAGGTTCTGATAACCTACAAATCATAATAGTAATACTGAAGCCTGAAGACAATGTTTCATTATTAATTTCTTACTTGAAAAGCTGTCTGGCACAAGCACAGCTAAAAAAAAATACTGGAGTTGAAGAGAGGAGGAAGCAATAACTACAGGAAGGCTGTGAGATAAACTGGCAGGCAAAGAAGAACAGGGTTACACTCTTGGGACTCTCGTGGGGTTAAACCATGACACGCTCCTACTTCTGCAATTCTGATTGTGCTAAAACTGCTCACTGGGTTTTGTCCCTTTAACCCTCAAAACCAATTTTGCAATGACAGACCCCCAATTCCAAAACCTTGCATAGCTTCTGCAGCATTCTTCCTGTAAATTAAGACACTACTATTAAAAAAAATAATAAAAAAATTCCATTGTCTCCCAGTCAATTCCAGAGACGGTGGCAGACCATACATTCTGTTTGTCAGCAAAATGCATAGAAACTACTGAACACTTAGGGAGGGAGAGGGGAAAGGAGGAGTGTCTTATAAGGAGTTTTACCTAAGTCATCCACAGAGATTTGAGCACCACTTTGATTTTAAACATGTTTTTAAACCCACCAAACTCATTGACTTAAATTCATTCAGGTAAATGCAATATAGTGAATGCAAATGGATTATTCACCGACCAAAACTGACACATTAAATGTATTGCAGAGTAAGGGTACAAAACTAAGGTCTGAATGTAGAGGCAGTAGTGAAGGAATTTGTGTTATGCTAAGGAACAATAGCAGCATGTAAGAGAGCTACCAAATATTGGTAGATTTTTTTTTTTTTGCATTGAATCAAACATATCGGTGCTTTCACACTGGAAAGAAATAAAAGTAATAGAACATCTGATTGCCTTTTAGTGCACTGTCATATCCCCCCTTTTGTTTTTGTTTTAAAAAGCTTTTTTTGGCATGAAAAATTGTGACTTTTTTTACAATTATTATTGAATCCATTTGTCTCATTTAACATCTATGTTTGAAAACCTTAGAAGGAGAAGGGTTTTTATACTTTTGAATATAACATCTTAAAACAGTCTCCTTCACAAAAGCCCAATATTGAGAGCCGCTAGAATGAACTGAAATTGTGGTTTATTATTATGGGGGATGGAGTTAGCGGAACGTGAGTGAGAAGTGGTTACTCTCTAAGAAAGAAATGAGGAAAGGTGGCTTCTATCTGCTCCCAGGCATTGTAGCAATTCCTTCCTAGGGCTGGTCATTTAAAAACCCTCTAGCAGGAGAGGAACATGTGCCAGGAAAACCTTTTTGCAGTGCTAGAGCCACAAGGTACAAACAGGGTCTGTAACTACCATTAGTAACCTTGCAACTTAGGAAATGACAAAAAAACATGAGGAAATTGACTGAATTCCCACCAGATGAAGGGTTTTCTTTTTGTAAGGAAAGGTGCTGAAAAACTGAAAAGTCTCCTACAGTTCATCAAAAATAGCCCTGTAAATTTGCACCATCCATATGCACATTCCTCTGTAACAGTGTTTCTATTCCCAACTCATTCATGTATTTATAAATGTAACTCTTCTCAACTTTTTATTTCTCTCTCCCTTACAACTTAGTTTGACTTTCAAAATAGAAAGGTTACCTCCATAAAACATAATGAAGACTTTTTAAAAGTTATTTTTAAAGAGTGAACTGTTGCATTTACCTGACTTAAGTAAGTTTCCAGCACTTCTCCATGGTCATCTCAGTTTTATAGCCCAATTCCCAGATGGTTTAGATACCTTACTTTAAATGGAGCTGTATTGTCAGAGAATTTGCCTCATAGTTTTTCTGTGGTAGATTATTATTTTTTTTATCTGCTACTCCTTGTGTCTAGATTTTACTTCTGCTACAATTTCATCAGTGCCATCAACACCTCATGTTTTTCTTGACTTCTCTGGCACATGACAAACGCAAAGAATCACACTCATCTCAGTTACATAGTCAACGACCAGTTTCTTTCTGTGTTTAGCTCATGATTGCTCCTCATAATTTTAAAAGCTTCCATAAACTTGCTGGATCGGATGTAAAAAAAACACAGACTTTTAAATATAGATCTTTCCATCTCTGTGTTCATTTTCCCTTCATAAAAGCACAAAACCCTCCTGCTCTGGATCATTTATATTTGAATAGGGTTTTCTTGTCCTATAATGCAGTGTTTCTAGTTCTGTTTGATTCTTTCATCATACTGCTGTCTGCATAACATATAAAATTTCACTTTTTTTTTTTTTTTTTTTTACATTTTATTTTACAGCCAATTAGTTGCAACAGTCACAGTCATTCCTATTTTTGGCAGCCCTCTGTGAACGGGGGTCCGATCGCAGCTGGACCACAAACTGGTCTGGAGTACAGTTCTCAACAGAAGCATCCTTCTGTATTTACTTATTCTACTCAGAAAGATCCCACTGACCCCAGAAAGGGTTAATTAGAAGTAAAAGCCTATAAAATCAGATTCCTTGATATAGTTATATTTTTCAGAAGTGTGGGACTCTTCTCACATCCTTGCATATATATCAGGGTGTGGAGCAAAAGAATTAGCTTTCTGGTTCTGGCGCAGTAGTGCAGCAAACATAATGCTTATTTGCAGCTCTTTTTATTTTGCTTTTGGTTTGGTTGGCTCTCAAATAAACCTTTTTATGATGTTTTATCCTTTATATCTCTCATCCTCACTCTCAGTTCTGCTGGTTTTTGTTGCTCTTTGGAGCTTTGATTAACCACACCAGCTTTGTGCTGCAGAATCGCACTCAATGAATGGCAAGGAGTATGATTTATTTTCTGAGTCACTGCTCAAAAGACAAACTTGCATCAATCAGAAACCAGACAAGGCAGTGTGACACCACAAAGCGATATGCTAGCAGGCGCTTACAGCAAAAAGGACAGGTGGTCTTTGATAGCTGACTTACATTGCAGGTCACTAATCACAGAGATTAGCAGCAAGGTGATAGACAGCGCCTGTTCTGGGAAGCAGCATGTCATATCATCCAATTTTCTGTCAAAATGTGAGGGTTTAAACAGTACAGATAGCTTTACATACTTGCCATATAGTTATGGCAACAGGGTGATGAGAAAGCTGGAAGAGTGAAATATCTTGTCTGCAAAGAAATGTGAGCATGAGCTCTGGTGGGTTGATTCTACCTCCACCTTTGTGGTGAAGGAAGAAAAAGACTACTTCCCACAGTCAGTGGTCTCCTCTGCAGAACTGCCTATGCAGAAATGGCATCATTTTACTCTGTAGAGCATGCTTTCTGTCTTCTTGAACTCCATCTCATTTCACACCTTAGGGCAATATTTTTCCCTATTTTTTATTGCTGCTGCCCTTTCTAGAATGAGCACAACCATAGGATGCTGAGGAGCAAGCTTAATTTTATATTCCCTCCTTTGGGCTCCAC